GTTACCCTCCAGGTCCCGCGCTGGCTGGTGCGGTGCCAAAGCAGAGCACATGGGCACAGTGAATTTACCACCTACTTTCTTCTTTTTCCTCTTTTCTTTTCCTGGTGGGGGGAGGAGGGTGGTGTGGGGGTGACTAAACGTGTCGACGTGGATGTTGGGTAATAAAACCTTGCACAAAACCTCTGCCCGGGACTGCCTGCACCTCCTGCAAAGCCCTGTGGCTCCAGCATGGTGTGAACCCAGCCCCTGCGCAGGGAAAGCATCAGGAGAGAGGGCAGCGCTTGTCACACGTGCCAGGGCCAGCCCCGTGCTGCCCCCCAGCAGATGAGCTGATGGCCACCGCAGGGGGCTGCGACTCAGGGGGGACAGGTTTATTGTTGACACCTGAGGGCACTGTCACCAAAGCGGCCGCCCGAGTCCTGCTCTGGCCCCGCTGCCATCCGCACGCCTGCTCACAGGTCCGTGGTGGTGAAGGCGTTGTTGATGAACGCCACTTTGCCGGGCTCCTTCAGGTGCAGGGCAGCCACCAGGGCCTCATCGTTGGCTGTGTCCACGAGCCATGCTTTGTCCTTTGGTGGGAGGAGAGTACAGCTGGAGGAGGGGGTGAGGACAAGGACATTCCCCCCACCCTCCCAGGAGCTACCAGTTGTCAAATGGATGGAGACAGGAGGACAAGACGGGTCTAGGAGCCCAGTGCCACAGCAGAAAGGCACAGTGCTGGGTAGGACTCCCTGCCAGGGAGCAGCAGCTCTTTGCTCACTCACCTTGGTCTTGGGGATGCTGTCCCCAGGTGCATCTACTGTGTTTTCATCCAGTGAATTCACACTGAGGAGAACCGGAGGGTATGGGTTAAAAGGTGTCCCAGGCAGAGCCAAGATACAGAGTGGTGGCCTTTGGGACCCGACCAGAGAGCTCACCTGGACACAGAGCAGGAATCTTCATGGAAGCCCAGATCATGGGAGGGATTGAAGGAGAGGTTGAGCACAGGGTTTGCCCTGGAGAAGGATGGGTGACAGGTGAATGACACAGCCCGGGGCAGCTGTGTCCCCCGGCTGTGACAGGGAGTGCTGCTCAGAGGGGTTGCTGGTTGCAGGCTGTGGCTGTGGGGATGCGCCAGGGCTCTCCCCTGCTGAGCAGGGAGCGCACACTCACCCCTCAGCATTGTACTGGTTGGTCCCGGGGATGCCTGGTCCTTGCTGCACCATGGCAGGCGTGAGCGTCGTTGCCACCTTGAGAGCCTTCATCGCGTTCAACTTCCTCTTGAAGCTGCAAAGCCAGGGACAGAGCAGTGAGAAGGGCAGGGTTGGAGCAAGAGCGCTGGGCTGCGTGTGGGCAGTAGGGAGGTGAGGGCTGGGGTCTGTAGGGGTGGCCATTGAGGATGAGGGTGGTGGTGATGCCAGAGGAGGCAGGACAGGGCGCAGGCTGTGCACTACCTCCTGGTGGTGAGAACCAAGGCCAGAATCATGATGAGGATGAAGAGGACCATGAAGGCCACCAGCCCTGCGATGACACCAATCAGCTCCTCCTCCTTGTCAGCCTGCGTCACCTCAGCAGGGCCCTGGCACAGAGCAGAGGTGAGGATGCAGCCCCGGGCATCAGGCCCTGTGGCTCAGCATGGGGCTGTCACCTTGCCCTCATGCCCCCTGCCCTGCCCAACTCACAATGACGGCCAGGCCGAGGTTCACCAGCTGCGCCAAGACGTCCGGGTTGCTCTGTAGGAGCCTGTCGAGGACAAGCAGAGAGGTGAGGTGGCGGGGCCAAGGTGGGAGAGCGGGTGCTGCCCACAGGACCCCCTCCCCGGGCACTCACACGCTCAGCTGGTTGACCTCCAGGGCAGTGCCGTTGCTGTACACAAAGTACACCTCCATCACAGCCTTGGCTTGAGGCCTGCAGGAGCGAGGAGCAGGGGGTGAGCACAGTGCCAGGGGACCAACCCCCTCCCCAGGATGCCACCACAATGTCCCTTCTTCACCACCCCCTCCCTCCACATCTGCAGCCCCAGGTGCCCCCCCACCAGGGCTGACTTACCCTGAGGCACGGGAGGTGCTGGCATCGTCCAGGCTCTGGATGGACGCCACGTAGACTTGTGCCTTGGTCACCACAGTCAGCGCCCTAGGAGCAGTGGGGACACAGGGAGCCCGGGTCAGGTGTCCTGCTGCTCTGCTTGCGGGCACGGGAAGCAGCCAGACCCGTGCCCCCCGGCTCCAGCAGAGATCTCCTCCACAGACCACCCTCTGCCCAATCTCCTTTGCTCCCAGGGAGGCTGGAAAAGACCAGGGCTGTGGGTCCCAGCCCCATAACGCAGCCCATGCTGCCTCCAGGGGGTGGGTGAGGAGGGAGCTTCCTGCACCCCATGTGCCTGTGTCTCCCCCCCACCAGTGCATGGGGTACCCGGCTCCCCCACGCACACGGAACACCCTGCTCCCCGCAGACCCCTTACAGTTTGATAGTGTCCAAGTTACTCTGCACTTCTTCCACTGGGGTCACGAACTGGAGGCGAACTAGGTAGCTATTATCCACCGTGAAGATCTGCATGGAAAGAGCAGGGGTGAGCAGGGCTGGCCAGGAGGCAGGGCATCGCTGTGCAGGGCAGTGGGGTGACACTCACGTCCAGCACAGTCTGCGTTGTGTGCACCGGTGCCTCACCATCCTTGGCCTCCACCGTCACCTTGTACCGCCCCTTCAGTGACCTATCAAGGTTGCTGGCCACCCTGGGAGGGCAGGGACATCAGTGATCCCATGGGGCTGCACAGGACACCCCCAGGCCCTGCTGCCCCCTGAGCTCCATCCCATCACTGTGCCCAGGACAAGACCCCTTCGGCCCCCGGGCAGCCCGCGCTGGCCTTGCTTGTGCCCCTGGCTTGGCAGCAGGTGGGAGCCAAGGTGCACAGGGACAGGGCCAGCCCCCGCTCCCCCCTCCGCCCTGGCCCAGACCCACGGCGTTACTGGATGCTCCCGACGTAGGTGTCCTGCTCGGCTGTGGTCACCACCTTGAAGAGGTTCTCGTAGGTCTGGCTGTTGCCGTTGTCCTGCACGAACACCACACTGACGATGGAGAAGGAGATCGTTCCTCCGGCGCCTGAGTCGGCATCCTTGGCCTGTGGGAACAGAGCATGGCAGGAGCACAGGCGGGAATCATCCCTTGGCTGCCCAGGGCAGAGAGGATAAGCCCAAATGCTCAGATGGATAGACACACACGCAGCTCCTCACCCTCACTACAGCCACTTGTAGGTCCACAGGAGAGACATCAGGGACAACCACTGCCAAGGACAGACCAACAGACGGTGAGACCATGATCGTGTGCAGCCAGGCTTGCTGCAGACCCCATGCACCCTGGGGCTCAGTGATGGCAGGGCTCTGAGCATCCCAGCTCTGCCTTCGGCCCCGGGGAGACAGACACGGCCCTCATAAAAAGCATTAACTAATCCCACACTAGTCCCCTCATATCTCCTCCTGGTCCCTCACTTCTAGCAGTGGCAGGAAGTGCAACAGGAGGGGAACAGCTTTGGGGAAGGACCCTGCTGCTGGGAGCAGGGTGGAGTGCCTCGTGCCACCGTGCACGGGCGAGCACACGGAGCCAGGAGCACACGACACAGCACCCATGGGGCCCGGCTGCTCACCGAATACCTCGGAGGAGGGCAGGAAAACCGGTGCGTTGTCATTCACATCAGTGATGAGGATCCTCAGGGTTTCTGCAGAGGCCCCAAAGCTCTGGTCACCAACTGCATCCTACAGGGATCTCCTCCACACCTCCCTCCACGCACAGGAGCCCCTTCCTCTTGACAGGCTTAGGCCCTTGCCATAGGGACCAAAAGAGCCAAGATGCCTTCCCTCAATCCCCAAACTGGCCACGCTGCTCCTCACAGCTCCTCCCAGGGCTGTGCCCTGCCCGGGTGAGAGGAGAGGGGTGAGGGTACCGTTCTGGCTGTAGCGGTTGCCCTTCTCGGTGTAGAGGTCTTCGGCCCGCAGTGTGAGCACCACCACATCGCACAGCTCGTAGTCAATGTCTGAACTGTTCACCACCACCAAGCCGTTGGGCGTCAGCACAAACCATTCCTTGCACACATTGCCAGCGTCGCTCGCCCCCTTGAAGCAGGTGACCGCCAGCTCTTCAAAGACCAGCGAGTGGTTGGTGTCCAGGTCAGAGGCAACCACGGTGTGGACAAGGCCCTCCTGGGTGCCGTTCTCGCTCACGCTCACGTCATGCAGAGAGGCTGACAGGATGGTGGGGGGCTCATCATTGACATCAAGGACATAGACTACCACTGAGGCATTAGCAGTGTCCCCCACACTCTCTGCTGCCGTGTTCTCTGCCAGCACCACCAGCGAGAAGAACTTCTGCTGCAAGGTGTCATAGTCCAGGGACACGTCGGGGTCCAGGTACAGCAGCCCACTGTAGTACCCTGACCCCAGGCGGGATGAGCGGATTAGGAAGTTGCTGGAGCCACTGCCGCTCTGAAGCAGGAAGGAAATGCGGGAATTGATGTCCGTCCGGTCAGCATCTGTGGCTTCCACATTGCCCACGAAGGACTCTACAGACAGACACAGACACAGACACTTGCCCAATGACCAGCAGGCACTAATCGCATGTCCCCGTATATCCCACAGATTTGGCCACACGGCTCATACCTGCAGATCCTTCTGAGACTGAGAACTCATAGGACTGGTTGAGGAACACAGGCACATTGTCATTCACGTCCTGTGGGTGATAAATGCCATGGGCACAGCTGCTTTTGGAGACAAGGGGTCCCACAGAAGGCTGGGGAGCACAGGAGCACAGATCCCTGCCTTCCTGCAGGCAGGAGGTACAAAAGCCCTTTTCTGTCTCCGTGCCTCAACCATTCCCTCTGCTCCCAAAGAGAGCCTGGGGACATGGTGCCTTTGCCATAGCCAGGGACCCCACATGCCTTCCCTTCATTGTGCATCTGTTTGGTCACAGTCATCAGCCCACAGCTGTCTGCCCGTGCCCAGGACTCACCCCCACAATGATGGTGACGTTGACATCGGTACTTTGCTGTGGTGTGCCCAGGTCATACACCTCCACCGTCACCACTATCTGCCCGCGATCATCATCCAAAGCCTCACGGTCCAGTGGCCCCTCGTTTTGCATCAACCCATTTTCTGCATCAATGGTGAAGTTGTCACTGAATGGCCCTGGCAAGATCTTGTAGCGCAACTCACTGTTGGGGGTATTGGGCTCATCGTTGTCCATGGCCTGAAAAGAGACAACCAGGAAGGTCAGGGGAGGGCCCGGACTGTCTGTCACCTCTGGGGCAGGTTCTGTCTCCTCTGCAACAGTCACCAGGTCATCCTCTCCAGCCCAGCTCTTGCATACCTGGATCTGCACGCTGACATTCTGCCCCTCGTCCACGGAGATGAAATAGGAGCCAATGATGATGGGGGCGTTGTCATTGGCATCCAGCACAGTGATCTCCAGCAGCGTGGAGCCTGTCAGGCCTCCCCCATCCTTGGCCTGGAGGTTGGCATAATAGATGGAGCGAGTCTCGCGGTCCAGCAAGCTCCCGTCCTGCACTAGCACAGCCCCGGTCGTGGCGTTCACAGCAAAGACTTCCCGGCTGCAGCACATACGGACCCATTAGCGGGGCTCTGGGCTGTAAGCAGATGCTGCCCCACAGCCCCTGTGCAGGCCCGATGCCCCATTGGGACTAGCCATGACCCTACGCACATGCTCTCTGGGAGGAGCTGGTAGGTGATCTGGCCCAGGATACCACTATCCGGATCATAGGCCTAAAACAGAGAGAGAGAGAGAGAGACATATCAGGTGTATCTGCCTGCCCCCCCCAGGGCAGTGATGAATCCAGGGAACCAGAGGGGATCTGCTGCTTGGAGCTGGCACCCCAAAAACAGCCATGAGGACCTGCACTCTGAGTGCCTGCTGGCACTATCTCCTTTGCATGTACACAAGGAAACCAATGCCCCTGTGCCATCCAGCAGCAGCAGGCAGAGCTTGGGGGAGGTGAATTGCACCCATTCCCTGCCCAGCACCTGACCGTGATGCCTGGGGAGATGACGGTGCCATCAGCGCTGTTCTCCGTCACATTCAGGTAGTAGACGCTCTGGGGGAACTCGGGGATGTGGTCATTGCTGTCAATGAGGTTGATGGTCACAGTGGCTGTGGAGCAGCAGTCTGTGGGGTTTCCTGTGTCATTAGCAACAATCTGCACCACAGAGAAGAGACAGTCTCATGTACAGGTCCCCAGGGGCACAAAAAAAGACCCAGTAGGCTCTGGTCCAGCTCCTCTGAACCAAACAAGCTTCCAGGCAGTCACATTCTGCCTTTTCCTCTGTTTTGCAGGGGAAGAGTCATGTCCCCCACACCCCCAGCATGGGGAGGGGGGTTCCCCATGGTAGCCCTGCAGTCCCACCTGCACCACCATGACATGGCTTATTTCGTAGTCCACAGCCAGCGGGTCTTTCACCAGGATCTGGACTTCCCCTGAGCCCACAATCTTCGTGGGGGACACAGAGAAGGCGCTGGCATTTGGACCTTGCAGATACAGCTCAAAACTGCTGTTGACGCCCTGCCAGGGAAAGATGTGCAGAAGTGAGGGTGGCTGGCCGAGTGCCCCTGAGACCCTGACCCCAGCCCAGCACTGAGCATGGGCTCCTAACCTTGTCAGGGTCATATGCAACGATGCTGAGGCCAGACACGGCCAGGTTTGTGGAGGAGTGCTCCACAACGCTGCCCGTGAAGTTGTTCTGGGCATCAGCAGAGAAGTTGCAGCTGGAGAGGGAACAGAGGTAGAACTCGGGCTTGTTGTCATTGACATCGGCCACCGTGATTGTCACCTCAGTGCTGATCTTGGCCACATTGCCATAGATGTCCAGGTTCTTCTCCCATGCCTGCACAGGAGGGGAGAGAGGGTCAGGTGGGCCCAGGGAGGGAAGAGGATGGGATTTCCCTGGCTACTTCTTACTCACCATGACTTCCAGCTGCAGCACTTCATCTGGCAGTTGTTCCCGGTCCAGGAATCCAGTCACGGTGATGGTGCCCGTCGTGACATTGATAGCAAAAGGGACGCTGGTGTCTAGGGCAAGAGGTCAGAGGGAAGCAGTTTTTGGGAAACAGGCCTGGCCATCCCCACCAGCAGCGCAAATCTGTAGCTCCCGTGAGTCACTAGTCCCCATGGCCTGTCCCATGCTATCCCCCCCTTCACTCACTGGTGATGTTGTAGAAGATGTCATCGTTCACCCCCGTGTCTCTGTCAATGGCAGTGACGGTCAGCACCGTGGTGCCCTGCAGGGACACAGCCATGAGGGCAGGACCCAGGGTGCCTCGGCCTGGTGGCACAGACCCCGCTGTGCTTTAGAGCCCCGGGGCAGGGCCACGGCAGGGCAGGCTCCTTACCAGAGGGCAGTTCTCCGGCACGGAGCCCGAGTAGGGCTCATTGAGGAACCGCGGGTCGAGGTTGGGCACGTCACGGACGGGGGCCCCGGGCCGGCCCAGCCCCAACCTGGGCGACGATCTTGATCTGGTAGAAGGTGCTCTGGGTATAGTCCAGCGAGCCATTGAGCACCACGCTCCCGCTGGGCAGGATGTAGAAGAGCCAGTGGTTCTTCGCGTTGTCCGGGATCACCTGGGTGTGGATGGGCACCAAGTGTCGCCAGGGCGCGGAGCAGAGGCGCCCCAGCAGAGATGGGGACACAACCCCCACTGTTCTGCCCGGCTGGGCCCGCAGGGAGCCCATGGGCCGTGGGGACACTCGCTGCCAGGGTGTTCCCTGCTTGCCACCCGGTTCGGCAGGAGCTCGGGGGGGGGAACGTTCTTCAGCCCCCCCCGCCGCCGCTGCACCGCGGGGCTGCCCTCGGCCGGGTCCCCGCTCCTGGGGCCCGCAGGGACGGCTTGCGGGTGGCGTTGGGATGCGGCGCGCCTGCTGCGCGACACGCTGCTGCTCTCTAGCGGGCACGGCCCCTCTCCGTGCCCGGGCAGCGGGCCCAGTGACAGGAGACGGGCTCGCCGGGGCGCACATGGTCAAGACAAGCCGAGGTCTTGGCAGCAAGCTTGCTGGGGAGGGGGGCAGCAGCCCCCCAGGGCCCAAGCACCCTCCTGGCTCCCAGGTCCCAGCACACCGGAGCCCACAGCCAGGATGACGTCAAGGCAGGCCAGAGCTCACCTCCTCGATGCTATAGCTGACTTTGGAGGCATTCCCGGTGTCACTGTCGTTGGCAAACACAGTGTAGATGACGCTGCCGACCGTCACGTTCTGGGGGCACAGGGTAAGTGGTGGTAGCACTGCCCAGAAGGGCAGAGGAAATGATGAACCCGGCACTGCCAGCCCTGGCCTAGGGGTGCCCGGGGCTGCAGGCTGAGCAGGGCTGAGCTCCTGACCTGGCCCACGCTGGGCAGGGGGCTGGATCCAGGACCCCCCACTGCCCTCCATGGGGCTCCCCAGGAGCAGGGGCTCCGAACCGGCCCAGGGTGGGACATGGGAAGGCCAGGTCCAGCCCCACAGCCCATCTGCTCCCCAAACCTCCCCCTCACCCCAGCCTGGACACAGAGCTGACTCAGGCACTTCCTGATCGCTAACTCATCCCAAGGGCAGAGTCCTGGCCCTTTGCCAGTGCCCAGGACAGGCACGGAGGCACCCGCCCGGGCACAGCCCTGCCACACGCCGTGCCAAGGTCAGACCTTCCCCAGTGCGTGGCCTGCCCGCTCCCAGGTGTGCCAGCACCCCGTCCCGTCACAGCATTGCCCTGTCCTGTTGCGCCATCGCCCTGTCCCAGCACAACCACAACTTGCTGCCGCAGGGAGCTACCTCAGGGACGGTGGTTTCATAGGGTAGGTTGTGGAAAACAGGGGCGTTGTCATTCCGGTCCTCCACGATGATTGGGAGCTTTTTGGAGACCTACCGGGAGCAGCGGGCATCAGTGACAGCACAGGGCGGGTACAGGGAGATGGGGTGCCCGGCAGAGCTGGGTGATGCTCCGGCGCCCCATGTCCCCACCTGCAGCGCACGGTGGCCTCAGCATCCTTCACTGCTGATCCTTGCTGGCACCAAGTCCCCACTTGCCCCCCGGACCCTGCCCCAGTGCCCCAATCACGCTGCGACCCCGGCACTCACTGCATCGTTCTGCCCATCGGACACGGTGACGGTGAGTGTGATCCTGGCCACGGTCTGTGGGGAGACACAGCAGGGCTCGGTCACAGGCAAGCCCTGAGCCCTGGGGGTGCTGCTCCCCGCAGGGAGCTCCCCACGAGCTGGGCTCCGGGGACAGGGAGCTGGGGAAAATGTCCTTCGTTCCATGCCTGGCTCTGGGGTCCCTGACATGCACCTCTGCCTGTGCCCCCATGGGCTGCAGGAGCCCAGGGCTGCGCAGGGCAGTGACGCGCCGCTCTCCCGCAGGGCTCTCTGGAGCCCATCCGTGCCCAAGGCACTGCTCAGGGCCAGGGTCTCGGTCCTCACCTCACGGTCCAGGAGGTTCCTGAGAAACACTTGGCCTGTGTTCTCATCGACAGAGAAGTAGAAGGCCTCCGACCCACTGATGCTGTAGGTGAGGGGGTCCCCGTCCACATCAAAAGCCTGCAGCTGGAAAGCCTCCTGGCCTGGGGACAAGGGCAGTGTCAGCACTGCCCAGGGCCCCCGGTGCGGGGGGACAGCCAGGTGCTCCTCCTGCAGCCAGGGCCTCTCCTCACCCGGGCAGCTCTGAGACCGCCCCACTCACCAATCTCCAGGTCCTCCGGCACGTACACGATGGTCATGTTGAAGTAGGGCGCTGTGTTGCCTGAAACTGCAGCGAGGACACGTGCTGAGCACCATCCTGAGCCGGCCTCAGCCTCGGGCCCTGCATCCCGGGGCCCAGCAGAGCCTGTCCAGCTCCAGCACTCGCTCCTGGAGCTGCTTTGAGTCCTGGCGGGTGGGGAACTCCCCCACCTGCCTTTTCTCACCCTCCCTCCTTGTGTCGTTCCCTTGAACCAGGTCCCGGCCATCTCTACTCCCCGGGGCAGGATAACCAGGGCGTCCCCAACACCGGTGCCAGGGGGGTGGGCACCTGCTCTGGGGGTCTCCGCTGCCCTCATGAAACGAGACCGAGAGCCAGGGCCCTCAAGCACTTCCAGCACTTCCCACCCGCCCTTGCCAGCTGCAGAGCAAAGTCCTCACCTGCGGCCAGGAGGAAGGGGAAGAGCGCCAGCGCGCGCCATGCCATCCTGCCGGGAGCCTGCGGGCACAGCTCGGGATGTCCCATGGCTCAGGGCCTCTCCTGCCGCCGGAGCGGTTCCCTTCCCGGCGAGCAGCCCCCCAGGCGGGGGGTTCCGTGTGGGACGGTCCCTCCGCTGAACCGAGCAGGGCTGAGTGTGCCAGGAAGCGAGAGGCCGGGCTCCGTCCTGGGTCCCTGGGGCCCCCGGCCAGCCGCCGGTCACAGCGTCAGCCCATCCTGCGAGCCCCGGAGGGCTCCGATTGCTGGGGCCCTGGCTGCCCCAGCGGGAGCTGCCAGGGGAGAGCCATACTTGTGTCCCCCAGGCGCTGGCAATGCCAGAGCCACCGGTGCCCCCACACCTGAGAGCCCGGGTGGGCTTGCTGCTGTGGATCTGCGGTGCCAGGTCCCTTGGGAGCCTGGAGACCGGCACCCCAGGCCAGGGCATGGTGGATATGGGGCTGGCATGGGATGCAGCCAACCAAGCGGGTATCTGGGGACTATGGGACCCTCCCCGGGCACAACTGTCAGCTGTATCGCCCCGGGCTTAACGGGCCCACCCCATGCAGTGCTTGAGGTCACATTAAGGCTTTAGTGGGGCTGCCCCCTCCCTCGGGATGGGGCACCCGGCCCCCACCGCCTCCTGCAGCCGCTGCACCAGAGCTAGGGCCAGCATCCCTTACCTGCAGCCGGCTCCACGGGGATGCTGCTGGGTGGCTGCCTGCGCCCTCGTCCCGATTCCGCGAGGGACCTTTGCCTCCTGCGGTAAGCAGGTTCATCAATCATTAACCGGAATTATATCATGAGAAATCCTTCTCCCACCTTCCTCCTTCCTCCAGATCGTCCTGAGTTTGCCTGGCCCCGTGCACACTCCCTGGCCGCAGAGCCCCAGCTCCCAATGCCGGTGCCATCCCTGCGGCTCCCACGGGTGCCAGGATCACAGCAGGGCCGAGGGCTGCGTGGAGGGGCCCTGAGTTGCCCAGGATGGCGGGGACTGCCCTCCCAAAAGGGCTGAGGGTGCTGGGGGTGAACCCCCATCTGCTGACAAGAGGACACCCAGCTCCCACTGGGCCAGTGGGTGGGCACTGACCCTGCGGAGCAGCCGCTGGGGTGGGAGCCCTGGGCTCTGTGTCCCCATCCGGCAGCTCCCTGCTCCGTGGGGCGGCAGGGGGCTCGGCCCAGCCTCGTTGACCTACTTGGGGCTGGCGGGACAAGGGCGGATTGTGCCGTTCCGCTCAGGCAGAAGAGGGCCGGGAGGCGGGGACGAGGTTCCCGCCAGCCCCGGGGCC